TAGCAATCCTCCACTTCGCTGAGCCCTCCATTTTCAGTATCTTCCTCTTTACTCTCAGGGAAGCCACTCAATAAATATCTGTTGAATTGAAGTTAAATCCCTAGATTTCTATGCAATGTAAAACTCCCTGTTCCATCAAGCTGTATGGCATTCAGCAACACACAGTTGCATTTTCCTAAGGGAGTACTCTAGAAATAAAGCCACTATCATGCAGGTTATTTACAAGTAAAAACATGGAGTCAGCCCAGTAAAGAAATGTTCCAATCGTGCGGCTCCAGGTCTGCCACATTCTGTTTATGACTTTGGATACTTCATTCATCCTTTCTGGGGTAGTTTTTCAACTTTAAGGTCCTAATAAACTTTTAGATTTTATGACCTGTCCTCTTTAGCCCTGTAAGATTTAAACATTATAAAGAACCTAATTTCAAAGAAACTGGTAAACTTGGACAACTAAACAAGTCCAAGTATGGTGCTTATTTGTGTGTGTGTATATATATATATTAACCTTATGCATATGCTGTTTTCACACCTATTTCAACTGTTTTTGAAAAATGTATATATCAGTTTTTGGAAAACAGAAGAAGATTTTAAAGGCATTTGAGAGGCAGATAAAAACAATTCCATGGTAAATCTTCTTACAAAAGGAATACTTTATTCTGTGAATAATCTGTGAATATTCTGTCAACTAACTGGCTAACACTAATTGTATTTTTTTTTCTTAAGACAGATATACCTATAGATAAATTCTACTTCAGATCAAGACAAAAATAGCTTTTAGGTTTTATGTGTCTCAAAATAGCTTCTATGGGGCTAGAGTTGGATGTGGTCCTGCTATAATGCTTTCCCTTAAAGGAAACATGCAAACTGTTTCAGTGGTAAGTGGCCAATGTTCTGTTAATAACCCTTTCCCCTCTTTCTGCCACAGCTCTTTGGATGTTTTGGCCTGATTTTGTAAATCTTCCAAAAATTCATTTGACATTTCATTCAAATATGAAGATAGGGTTGTGCTATGCTCAGCAGTCCCGTGGCTTTTCTCTGCCCTCATTCTTGATATCTCTGCAGCTCTGACAATGGGCTCACCCACTCCACCTTTCTTGAAGCACTCTTCTCCCTTGACATCACTAACATAACTCTCCTTGTTCTACTTCTGGGACTGTGCCTTACTTCCTTCACTAGTTCTTCTCCATCCACTCTAAATATGGGTATCCTACCAAGATCTAAACTTTATGTTCCTCTTTGCACAAGGAGTTAGTCAACTGCATCACTCTCGCTCCCTGATCTCTTTAACCCAGCCCTCAGTCCTGAATTCCATTATCCACTTCCGTGTAATATAAATGTGCTACTTCACTTCAAACTTATGTCTAGACAGAGCTGCTCTCATCCTGACCTAACTTGTCTCCCTAAAATAATATCTGATATTTAAGATACCCATAATTTGGCCTCAAACAGTCCTAACAATCTTATCTCCAACTAATGCTGCTCTATCTCTACCTTTTCATTCTTCTAAGTTTGTTACTCTTATTGTTTCCCAGACTGACTTTGAGTTTTCCTTACTGTTGGCCTCTTCTCATACACTGCCCTCTTTTGGAAGGCCACCCCCACCAATTTCTCTCCATCCACTGTCTTCATCCTTTTGTGCCCATTTCAATGCCCATTTCTTCTTGAAGCCCTCCCTAGTAACATCTAGCAGTTCTTACTCCCTCCTCCATACTACTCCAGCCCACAAGGCCAGCATGGTACTGTCAGCTTGGCAGTGGCATTATCATCTCACACACCAGCCCAGATCGCCCAGAGCCAGATGTGTTCTATCTTCTTATTACAGTATTTTGCACATAGATGTCACTTACTACCTGTCAAAAGATTGCCAGGCATCCTTTTGTGTGGAATACAGAAAAGGGAAATGCATCTTCTAATAAAGGAGATATATATGTATCAGAGCTCTTATAGTAACAGCACTTACATATTTCTGGCTTGTTAGTATCCAAAATGTGAAACTCCCAAACCCGAGTGAGAGGGTTTGTGAACCTGGTAATGCAGCTCCTAATTTGGCATCTGTGAGGCACTCCATCATGTTCCAGGCAGTGGCAGCCTGTACCAGTGCCCATTTTCCATTTTATTTGGTTATCATCAGTCAAAAGTGCAATAAGTTTATGTTTACCTTGAAGAGAAGTGCCTCGGGGATATTTTCAGTACTTGGTGAGAACTTTAGTCATCTCTAGGCAGTTCTTTGATAGGACCCATTCTTCCCATCCTGCACTGTTCTACAGCCACTTTTTCAAAACATAGACTGTATCCTGAGATAACAAAGTTGGTCCCTATACAGAGAGAGGAAACAGCTCCCTTGTGTGTCCATTGTGTAGTGTAGCAAGTCATAAAGGACCGGACAGAGTGTTTCTAACAAGGCCGCATTGAATGCCTGTGTTGGGGCTGGAATCTAAAGCACTGATGTCTGCTTGGAACATCACACTGATGTCTGTATTCATTTTTCAAGTGTTGTGAAGTGCTGCCAGGAATTGCTTATGGCTGATACTAAGTTAAAGAATGTGTAGGTGGAGGTCATGCTTTATTTCTGGAAGGAGAATGAGGCCAATGGTTGAATGCATGGCAGTAAGCATTCACACAAGCAAGTAATGACTCACTAGTAGGTGGAGAATTGAATGAGTTTCTTCTTAAAGTCAATTTCCTGAAACTCCAAGTGTGGCAGACATCTGTTTTTATTCTCTACCATTCTTCTTTCATCTGGTAACCGCACTCCTCCCTCCCTTTACAGATCTGCTTCTACCCTATTCCTTGTGGGCCACAATCTTCTCGCCCTTGGTTGCAGGGTGAGCATGTGATCCAGGACTAGTCAACTGTTATATGGCTTCAGCAAATTATCCAAGGATAAGTATATAATCCAGGTCAGGCCAATCAGAGCCTTTCCCTGGGACTTTTCATACTGAAGATGGAAGGGAAATGTGTCTAAAAGGATAGAATCACCTAGAGTTCCTGGCCATCACGGAAGGGTCTACAAAAAGGAAGCTAGTACATAAAAAACAGCCAATTCCTTATATAAAAGAAAAAGGGAGAGAGGCAGTTAAAATTGGAATACTATTTTAGCAGCTGGATCCAGATAACCCTCAGACCAGTTTTATCTCAGAATTTTTCTTTTTCTTCTTTTTTTTTCTTTCCACTTAAACTAGTTCAAATGGTCTCTTAACACTTTTTAGAAAGTGGCCTTGGAAACCAATAAGTCCCATTTCCTTATTTTACGATATGCAAATGGAAACACAGGGAGATCAAGAAATTGCTGTTATTAGCTGGTTGGTACCAAAGGCCCAACAAGAACATCTTGCTGGTAAGAACAATACAAAAATTAATCTAATAGCACTATCAGAAGTTGATGAATCAATAAATGGATGAATTCATATATTGTTCATAAACTTGTGAAAGAAACCACCAGAAGGGCTAAAAACAAATAGTTTAAAGTGTTTACCTCTGGAAAGTAAGACTAGAATGAGGTGGAGGGAGGACATCTTTTATTTTTGCATTTTATCTCTTCTATACTGTTTGACTGTTGACTACGTGCATATAAAAAAATATAGTGCTCAAAAAGACTCTTAAAACATAAAACTCCAGAAGTTTGTAACTTAAAGAAGGTCTTAGACAGTTACAAAATATCCTGGAGGCCTGAGAAGGGTATCCATTCATCCATTTCCTGTGTTTAAAGCCACCAGGGGAGGTCTTTTCCAAAGAATTTCATCAAGCATGACTATTCCTACTACTACTGCCAGCCCCAACAGCGTCACCACTATCTAGTGATGAGAGCTAACTGTTATAGAGCACGTACTATGTACCAAACACCATTCAAAGCACTTTATCCATCTAAACTCATTTAATCTTTATAAAAACTCTAGGAGAGAGGCCACTTTTATTATCTCCATTTTACAGATGAGAAAAGTGAGGCACAAAGATATATAGTAAGTTGTCCAAGATTATGCAGCTGGAAAGAAGTGGAGATGGGATTTAAACTGAGGAGCTCTGGCTCATGACCATGATGTTACCACATCTGTAACCAAAGCACCAGGACTTATCTCGTATTTACCACATGCAGTGTGACTTCCTCAGATACAGCGGACCTTTCTGATTTGGGCTCCACTCAAGACTATGGCTCTAAGTCTGCCCCTCCTATCCTCTGTTTCTTGGTTACTGAGATATAGATATTGCAATGGCGCCCGAAACAGCTATAGAGACAGCCAGGCTATGTTCTGAACACATTCCATACATATAACTTTAGGTAGTTATATCTTATATGCTATGCTTAAAAATATTTATTGGAAAAACTATAACAATGTACAAAGCAACCTGAAGGAGTTGATTTTGAAACTAAGAAATTAAATTTGCTTCCAGAATTTCTTATTTCAGCATAAGTACCATCAACTAGCACTCATTATATTGAGAAACTAATGAGTTGTTGGTCTGTACTAGCCAAACATCATGTATTTACAGCTAAATATTGTACTTCCAAAATGTGAACAGGAAGATGAAACCAATTAATACAGGTTCTTACTTCATATTTTCCAAGTATAATATTAATTCGAATTTCTGAGAAAAATCAAGAGACATATATCACATAAGGGCAATAAATACTACCGTGGAATTTCATGGTATGGAAGTTCCTACATACTTATGGTTTTGTCCTTCACTCTCCTTCTTGAACACAATGTTTGTGGTAGAAAAAAATAAATACAAGAAGAATTATTTCGAAAATAATTGGATTTGAATTCTTAAAAATAGCTTGGTATTTATTTATGTGTTTGTTTATGAATAACACAGGGTCTTGCTCTGTCACCCAGGCTGGAGTGAAGTGTGTCATCTTGGCTCACTGCAGCCTCAAACTGCTGGGTGTGTGCCACCACACCCAGTGGGATTTTTTTTTTTTTTTAAGTACATACAGGGTCTCACTGTGTTGCCCAGGCTGGTCTCAAACTCCTGGGCTCAAGCAGTCCTCCCACCTTGGCCTCCCCAGCTGCTGGTATTACAGGCGTGAGCCACCACACATGGCCTAAATAGCTTTGTTTTTAAATCACCGACAGCCCCTTTTAGCATCTCCTGCCATTGGGCTACTTTGTGCTTTCCCTGGTAGAAGTGACTGTGCCACCAATTATCTGTGTGGCCTTGACTAAATCATTCTCGGTCTGACTTTCTTCATATCTTTGCAGTATAGTTGGATTAAATAGTCCCCTTTAAATATTTTTAAAATGTGCCCATGCTATAAAATTCACTCTTTAGTCTTTCAAGATTGTACATCTGAATATCACTAATATTACTCATCTGTTATGCTGTTCCATCTCTTGAGATACTGTATCAGTAAATATGATGGTGAACACTATAAAGATTACTTTTCAAATTTCTATTAAGATAGGCCTATAACTGAAGAACTAAACATTTCTGAATAAATAATAACAATGTAGCCAATAACGTTTTCTACATATTTTGGTCTTGCAATCAATGTGAGGAATGCACATTTGGATCTGGATTCTCAGAGTAATTTACTTCCTCTTACAAGTCTACCATTGCTAGTTTAAATGCTAATGGCTGAGATATACAAGCCAAGGGGTTTGTGGTGTGAATGCAGGGCTTGACTGATCACCAGACTCCCTTCCCAACCTCTCATCTGAAGAAGGAGAAAGTTCTTGAAAAAGCTCAAAAATGCATTTTGGCAAGCTCAAGAGATGCAGTTTAGCAGCATGAATTAAGAGACTTGTGACTGTGGAAAAGAACAGTACATTTTAAATGGCTTTGGCCCTTCTTAGCTTTTGACCAGCTGACCTTGACATTCCTTAGAGGCCAAAGGATGAGATGCAGTGAAGACAGTGCTGCCTAGCCATTTCCCCTCAGGAGGCAGAACCAGTCCTTCCAGCTGCAGATGAAGTCTATCCAGTGTGTCTTGGGGAGAACTGTAATAAATGAGGTTCCCTCCCTGAGAAATGACTAAAACCACAAAAATAATTTCTTAGATGAAACAGCTCAATTATCTAATGTAATTACTCCTAAGGAAAAAATGAGAGAAATTTATCATAGTTACATGAAGTTTCCAATGTGGTTATATATGACTGTGTATAGTCCACAGTTATTCATCTGGCGTTCTATCAAACAGAGTTTTCTATAATATGGTATCTGTGACTGTTTCCAATACAATAAAAATGCTGTAAAATCTTGAAATGCTTTTCAAAAGAATACTTTATAGAATAGCATGTACAGCTGTAGTATTGAGCTTATTTTGCTGTACTTTATTAATCTTTTCCAAAACATGTAAATAATGAAGTTTGTTGCACACCACATCTGGATTTCATGATTATTCTGTAAGACTTATACAATAGATGGCCCTTCATTTAGGGAAGTAGTATATACACCAGAATGTACCTTTTCTTTTTAAGATTTAAAACAATGGAAAAAGCCACTGAAGTATATATAGTATCTGTGTGCCGAGATACACAGGAAAGCATGGATCGTGTGGATGGAAGGAACCAGGATCATCTCATCCAGCTGAGTAATAAGTACGTTTGGTGCAGTGCCACACAGGAGGCCAGCAGCAGAGCCCGGAGTAGTAACTGGGTTTCTTCACTCTTAGCCTCTCAAGTGGTGAGACCAAGGTGAGATCTCCTTTCACTAAAAGGCTTAATCTTTTAAATAACTGAACCAGAAAGTCATTTCTAACAAGAATACAGATAAACATTACAAAGAACACAGAAAAGATATGTTCAAAATCTGTCAGGTTCCAACAAGGGATACTTTTTCCCTGAAGAGAGAAGATGAACCATTGCCTAGAAGTAATGTGTAGCTGACTGTCCAGCGGTTCTATGTCTGAGTAACACAGTCTCATCACTCATGTGTATGTGTGCATATATACATGTCTATGACTATAGTGGTATCAGCAATCATGCATATTTTCAAGCTTAAATATGATGAAATTGTTAAAGGACTATAATCCTAAGTAAAACGAATACAGAGTATACTTAATTACACTTCTGTTCCCAACTTGTCCTTTTAGGCATGATCTTATCTCTTGATTGTGGCCACCAGTAAAGAACAGCATATCTCTAATCTCAGAAGCACAAGGAGTTCATACAGGAAACCAAGATTAGTAAGTATTTTTGTGGTGAATACCTTTTGAATAAGACAGGATTAATGTAACAGTTAAAAGTATAGAAATAGAAAAGTTACGAATTTACCAGTGATTTTTTTCTTTGCTGTGGACATTTGTTGATCTTTAAAATATATCATGGGAGTAAATAAAACATCTATAGAATTTACAAAAATGTCAAAATGAACCAGAAGACATTAAAGTCATTCATGATACATGTTAATGACCTAATAGAGAAAAACTTCTTTTTTTTTTCCTTTCAGGAGCATCATGCTATCATCTTTCAAAATTACTATGCAGGATCGGTGGAACACTGGGCACTGATGGAGTGGGCCCTGCATCCTTCACTGCTTCCTCATGGAGGGATCTCCAGGAAGGGGGCCCTCTTTGCCTGTCTCCTCCCTTTGTGGCGAATATGGGTGGGGGATGGATCTGGGCATGCTCAGATCAGCCCCTCCCTTGCTCTTCTCTCTTTGGATCTTGCTTGCAATCAGAGGGCTTTTTCTTCCTGTTTTTTGGAGGGTGGGATCTGCGTGGAGCTGTTCAATGCTGCCTGTGACTGGGTGTTAGTATGCTTAGCTCACGGTGAAGAATAAGACAGCTCATGAGGCCCAGCAGTACATCCCTTTTCTCCTCTGAGTTCTCCCCAGTACAAATCTGGTGCTTGGATCTCTTTCTGACTCCTCAGTTTATCTGTCAAATGGTTCCAAACTTGAGTAGGGAGAGAGGATCATCCCCTGTCAAATGTACACTATTCATGCACTTTCATGGCGTAAAAGAACCCTAGACACGTGGGCTCCCTTGCTAATTGCACCTTCAAAGCAATAGTCATTATTTAGCATTTATCGGAAGAGGCTGGCCCCAGCTCTGGTGAAGGGCAGAGAAGGTGTGGGTGGCCTCACACGTTCTCAATGTCACAAAATGATAGCATTAAACAGACCCACTCCCTCATGGAAGGCAATGTGACGACCTTCTATTGATATTGCAACATGTGTCTCTGGCAGCAGGATCTCAGTCCTTACGTAAGGGATATGGGATGATTTCCTCCACTTCATGTATATGCTCTCCCTAAGCAGATCTGGCAGATGCAAATTTATCCATATCTTTTCATTACCAATGAAGTTTTAGTATCCACATCCCGTCTTTGTAACCCTTTTTATTTCAGCTGATCTAAATAATTAGTTCAGATTTACCCTGGCAAATGGCTTTTACCATTGTTAGTTTCTTACCTTATAACAAAATACTGCCATCAAGTTTTGATTACGAAAATGGCTGAAGGCAAGGGACCATATGAGAGAGTGCAATCAACAACACGGTCTTTTTGCCCAACAGAATTTGACATTTTTGGCTTAGAGAATTAAAGCACAATGACTGTTCCTGAAAATCAGCACAGTAGTCATAATAAAACTTTTTTCTTGGCTGGGCACAGTGTTGCATGCCTCTAATCTCAGCATTTTGGGAGGTTGAGGCGGGAGGATCACTTGAGCCCAGATCTTGAGACCAGCCTAGGCAACACAGTGAAACCTCGTCTACGCTAAAAATTTTAAAAAAAATTAGCCAGGTGTGATGGTGTGAGTCTGTAGTCCCAGCTACTTGCTTGAGCCCAGGAGAACAAGGCTGCAGGGAGCCACCATCACGCCACCACACTCCAGACTGGGTGGCAAAACAAGATCCTGTCTCAAAACAAAGCAAAACAAAACAACCTTTTCTTTTTAAAGTTGAACTCCTTATTATAACTGCAGACGTTTCTATACAATATTTCTTTTTAATCTCTTTTGAAATGAAATCCTATTTTTAAAAGAATACACATGATTAAATAAAAACAAAAAACCCCTCCAAACCCTATTGGATTTCCAGCCTCAGCTCACAACTGATACCTTATACAAAAATTAACTAGTATCAGTCTCCAACAGGCCAGGGATGGTGGCTCAGGCCTGTAATCCCAGCACTTTGGGAGCCTGAAAGGGGAGGATCGCTTGAGCCCAGAAGGTTGAGACCAGCATTGGCAACAAAGTGAGACCCAGTCTCTACAGAAAACTAAAAAATTAGCCGGGCATGGTGATGCATGCCTGTAGTCCCAGCTACTTGGGAGGCTGAGATGGGAGGATCAAGTGGACTCAGGAGGTCATGATCTTACGGCCACTACACTCCATCTTGGGGGACAGAGTGAGACCCCAGCTCTAAAAAAATAAAAATAAAAAAAACAAAAAAATCTTCAACATAAATGTGAATCTAAAACTGTAAAATTTCAAGAAGGAATCACAGGAGAAAATCTTTGTGACCATAAGTTAGGTAAAGATTTCTTAGATAAGACAACAAAATGGTGATCCATAAGGGGAAAAAAAATTGATGCATTGGGGCTTCATCAAAATTAAAAACCTCTGCTCTTCAAAATGCAAAAGAAACAAAGAGAACACTGAAAAGTACATCTTCATCTCTTACTTTTTCTTCCCAGTCCAGTTTCCCTCTCCGGCATCAACCAAATACTATTACCATTTCTTGAGTTCCCTCCTAAGCTACCCCATACATAATAAGCATATAGATACATACTGTACGGTGGTTCTAGTGCTTTTTTACTGAGTTTTTTTTAAACACAAAACTTCCATATTCAATAGATTTATTTGATTATTCAGTGTAGTCCTACACTCCCAACAGCATTCACTGGTCATCCATGTAGCTGAGGCAAAATTCTTTGGAAGGAATTAGTTTTGAAGTTTACTTAAGCAAATATGGAAATAAAACATTAAAATCTTTAATTTGTTTGCCTTGGTTAAAACAAACAAAAATATTTCCTAAGTTATCAGCTCACTGTGTATTATTTCGGCCATACTTCATATTTTAGCTATGTCAGCTGTGGTATCCTGGGAGAAAGATGTTGTCATCTGGGGCCTCACACCAAAATATTATTTGAAGTACATAGAAACCAGCTTCTTCAATTTCTTCAATTTCTTTGGATATTGTGTTTTTAAATAATGAAATTCTCTCTTAAAGAAAAATGAGGATCTCTTTAGTCACGTTGAGGACTAGAGGGAAGTATTTGCCTCAGGCTGGATTTTTTGTTTTTTGAGACCCTGTCACCCAGACTGGAGTGCAGTGGCACGATCTCAGCTTACTAGAACCTCCGCCTCCTGGGTTCAAGCGATTCTTGTGCCTCAGCCTCCCAAATAACTGGGATTACAGACGTGCGCCACCAGGCACAGATAATTTTTATATTTTAGTAGAGACGGGGTTTCACCATGTTGGCCAGGCTGGTCTCAAACTCCTGACTTCAAGTGATCTGCTCACCTCGGCCTCCCAGAGTGCAGGATTACAGGCTATTGCCACTGTGCCTGGCTCTCAGACTGAATTAAAATCACCGTTCACACTCCACAGCACAACTCACTTCCCAGATGATTCACTCAACTATTGGAGTGAGCAAGAAGAGTACTCCCATCTCTATTATCTTGTTTTATTTACTTCACAGCATTTATTATTGAAATGATTACATTGATGTATTTGTTTTTAGACTTTCTGCCTCTGCCCCGACTCCAGCCCTGGGAATCAGAGGGGGCTTCTGTCCAGCTGCACATGGCTGTGGTTGAAGATCTGGAATCAACAGATCCTTCTCCACCAAATCAACTCCACTTCTACCACTGGGATTGGCCCTTATTACTGTTATCTGGTTTGTACATTCAGCAGCAGTTTTCAGACATGAAAAGATAAGAGATGAGCATTTAGATTAATTACCATCAATTCTGCAGCACTGGTTCGGGTGTAAAGGTTGTGTGTTTACCTAATTTCACATCCTCCAGACCTGCACTGTCCCACTATGGTAACTGTTAGCTACATGTAGCTATTAAGTGCTTGAACAGTGGTTAGTCAGAATTGAGATGTATTGTAAGTGTCAAATACACAGCAGATTTAAAAAATTTAGTTTAAAAAGAGATTGGAAAATGATCTTGACTAATTTTTATATTATTTACATGTTAAAATAATATTTTGAATATATTGGGTTAAATAACATGTACTATTAAAATTAATTTCTTTTTCCCTTTTAATGTGACCACTAGAAAACTGAAACTGCATACATGGTCTGCATTTATGGTGGTTCACATTCTATTTCTACTGTACAGCGCTCCTTGAGGCCTAGTTCTAAAACTTCCCTCACTTCTCACAAGGGTTACTGTCTGTCTGTGCTACTAGAGGTTCGCCAGATGCTCTACTGAACAGGAATCAACTGCAGAGCCTCAGAATATAAGAACGTGGTCTCTGAGGGACCAATATTTGGGGCAGCAGTGATAGATTTGTCCATGATAGTGGCAAAAAGTTGTCCTCCAATTTTTTTACAAGTTTGCTAACGTATTTGCTGACCTCCCATCAAGTAATATTAGAAATGATTCTAAGATTGCATTTCTCAAACCTTTCCACTCTTCTAAGACATTCACACATGCTCAGCATGTCTGGGGCACCATCGGTGCTACCCATATGCAGATGAGAGCCCTCCATCTCCAGCAGAGCCTTCTCCTTCAGGCAGTGAGAGAAGACTCCGTTTCCATAGAGAGGCTCATCCTATTCAGATCAACTACAAGGCCACAGTTGTATAGGAGTCAGTCCTGCCAGCAGCCGTGAGCATGGATAACTATCAGTCATGGGGAGGAAGCTGTCCGCTCCGAAGACTTAGGGTAAAAGGCAGAAGATAGCAGGCTGTGGGGTGGAGATGAATTTGACTTTTCTCTCACGTGAAATGCAGCGTAAGCCCCGAGTCACGCAACAGAGCAAAGCAAAAATGTAACACGTTGACGAGAGGAGGGAATGACCAATTATAATGCTGAGGTTTTACGTTTAAATGCTACAAATTTGATTTTTCTCCAGTTTATAAATATGTTTAAATAAAAGTCGTAATGCAAAAGTACAAAAATGATAGTCTACCGTCTTAAGACGCACAGACTGTTTTTATATTTAGAGTAAGGTGAGGGGGATGGAAGTGAATCTAGATTGAATAGTGCCAGACAATGGGCAGAACATGACTCTTAAACACACATTATCTTTCCTCTAAGAAACTACTATTGCTTCCTTCTAAAAGCCTGCTCTGGATTTTTTTTTTTTTTTTTTGAGACTGGGTCTCATTGTGTTGCCCTGATTGGAGTGCAGCGGCGCAATCACGGCTCACCGCGCCTCGACCACCCAGGCCCAACTGATCCTTCCACCTCAGCCTCTCAAGTAGCTAGAACCACAGGTATGTGCCACTGTGCCCAGCTATTTTTTTTTTTTTTTTACTTTTGTAGAGATGGGGTCTCCCTGTGTTGCCCAAGCTGGTCTCCAATTCCTCAGCTCAAGTGATTCTCCTGAGTTGGCCTCCCAAAGTTCTGGGATGACAGGCATGAGCACTCTGGAAAGTTAATACAATCTTCTGAACCAAGGTATGATTATTAGTTATCTTTTGACCCAGAAACCAGTATCTCAGAGAAACGTGCCAAAGTAAAAAGATTACAATGGATACTTTCTTCACACGCGAAATAAAAGGTAGCATCTTAATAAAAGTATTTATGCTTGATCAAACTTCATAAAAACAGGATGCCTGGAAAAATATCTTCCACCGCATTTATGAGTGTATAACTTAAAGAAAAAATGCCCCCTGATGTACTAATTTTGTGTGGCTAAATATAGTTAGCAGCCCTCATGCTTCATAGCGCATTTTCCCCTGGAATTCAGCTAATATAAATAAAACAAAGAAGGGAACCTGGACCCCCTCCATGAACATTACATCATTCTTCCTTATTAGGAAAACTTCTTCAAATCTGAAATTTTGCTCTAAATAATCAGAGTTTCTATTTCTCAGTGAGTAACAAGGCAGGGGGCTGCCGTCATCAGAAGTGTTGCTGTGTGGGGAGCAATGTGTGGTGACGTACAGGCTCGTTTGAACAGTGATGTTTCCAACAGTAGTAATAGTAACACCAGGGAAAGCATTAAGGTGCATTTAGGAAAGCGCATGTAATTCTCTCCAAATTTTTGCTTTCTATATATTTTTGGATATATGCCTGTTTTATGGTAAACAGAAAGACGAGAAAGCAGAAATTCTTAGGTTCTTTTGTAATACTGGTTCTGACCAAAGATTTTTGTATCTGATTGATCTTAATTAACAGGAGGATGCAGTGGTTAAAAATCTAAGGCAGACCTGCCGCTGCTCCCTGAAACACACTTGAGTTTCCTCTTAAGTGATGTCTAATTTGTTAGACAACTTTAGGTTATCTATTTTTGCTCTCAGCCCTCAGCATATTAACATGCTAGTTGATCTAGGCTTCTTGGTATGAAAGGTAAGATTTATGAAGTTAACGTGTACATGTAAAGTAAAAATCAATTAAAACAAACATCTTCTTTAAACATTACCTTTCCATGGCTTTAAACAGGGCTGTTTATCAGTTTGCTAATTCTACCTGGTGTTTCACCTTTCTTTCATCTTGACGTAAGGACTATTCTCATGAAAAATAAGTAAAAAAGAGTTGGAAAAAACAGTTCTAAATGTGAAGTCCACAATGGTGTTGACGAAGCTAATACCATATC